TGCTATAGACAATTTTAGTTTGGAGAACACCACTTGGTAAAATGTTGTTTTAAGGTTTACAGTTTAAAAGGCTTGAAGAACATGAATACATCTAATACACAAAGAATCCAGTAATGGTTAGGGTCACAATTACACAGATGTCCTTATTAACTAAGTTTAACTTTTACATTAAAGCATAGACAAGGTTCAAATAGTTCTCATATATATATACATAATAATTGTTTATTTAACCAATTATATTTAAAAGACTTTAAATTTTTTTTTTAGTTGTAGGTGGACAAATACCTGTACTTTGTTTATTTATTTTTATGTGGTGCTGAGTATGGAACCCAGTGCTTCACATATGCATGGTAAGCGCTCTACCAATGAGCCACCACCCCAGCCCTAAAAGACTTTAAAACAGGTTTAAGCCCTAATTCTTTAAGTCTTAGTTTCCCTAACTAATAAACCCTAACAAACACAAGAAATATCTAGATAGATAAGAGAATATCAATGTTTACAGAGACCTTCTTGTTTCTAATCATAGAGAATTAGCATACTAAGGTTAAACTTAGGGAACAAAAACTTTGAATAACTTTAGCTAACTGTGCTGATTATAGCCAACTTAATCACATACATGAACTTTTTGAGGTTTACCTTCTACAAACCTCGTGCAACTTACTTAGACATTCTACAGTTTACTTACTATATAAAATACTTCCTCATCCAGAAACATTTTTCCTTTTAATTTTCCATACTAAAATATGTTTCCATACCTATAACTTTGTTGTATCTCTCTTTATTCCAGTTGCTGATTCTTTCTTAAATTTACATTCTGAAAAAATTCTTATAAATTTTCTGAATTTAGACAAATTGTTTATTTTTTAACATTAACACTTTATTATTATTATTTGTGGTGCTGAGAACTGAACCCATGGCCTTGTGCATGTGAGGAAAGCACTCTGCCAACTGAGCTATATCCCCAGCCCAATTGCTTCTTTTTAATAAGCTTTTCACAGAATTTAATTGAAAAGAGCTGAAAAAACTTTTTGTCTATTTACATATAGAATTATACCTCTTCAAAAAAGGTGTATTTGTTTGTTTGTTTGTTTTTTAATACCGGAGATTGAATTCAGGAGCACTCAACCCCTGAGCCACATCCCCAGCCTGGCTTTGAACTTACAATCCTCCTGCCTCAGCCTCCCAAGCCACTGGGATTACAGGCATGTGCCACCATGCCTGGCTACCTATTAGAATTTTAAACCTTAATAAGCTTGCTTTTAGTTTAAAGCCCAGAAATAAGCAATCTTTAACTTTTTTTTTCATTTACCAATTTATAAAAATTGGATCCAAATTTATGTTAACTTGTGGAATTCAGAAAGCCAGGAGTATTTAAATTTATACTTAGTTGATGTTTTAGTATTTTAACTTTGCAAATTAATCAAATTTATCTTCTAAAAAATACATGAAGATTAATCCTATTTATGTTAAAAAACTAATTTGCCCATTTCTAACTTAGGTTACACATGAAACCAAGGTATCAAACAAGTCTGGTTAACACTTTAAGTCATTTAGTCCTACCAAAGAAAAGTCCTTAGAAACAATGGACATTGTTGCACTTTAAGCATTTTATAGACACAAATGCTTTGGCCACCTAGAAAAATATGTGAGTTAGTCATTTCAGAGACATCTTTACACTTACCAATCTAAATTGATCCTTTTCGTTAGGTTTTATTTAAGTCATGTGAACAGAAAGGCATTTGGATCCTTTCATTAAATTGATGAGTCCTCATTTATCTGTAAGCCAATTTTGGTACCTTGTACATGATATAGACACCAGTACATATATAGACGCGGCATGCACAACTCAGGTATGCACAAGTATCCATCAAACAGACAGGAAACTGATTTGGTAGTGCTTTGCCAGGTATTAAATCCCTACCAGTAGGAGGCAAAAGAATGATCAGATTTAATCCTTTAGAAGTTAAAATAGAGTCTATCAGATTTTTACCATAGAACGCAGACATGGAGAGGGCCTGGGTCCATTTTCCTTCCCTGTCCCTCAGCCTTAAATTTTCCCTGGAGATTTCTTGTATGCCCTCAACTCCCTATCTGCTCAATGAGCCCAAATAAAACAATATTTTATCATCTTTAGTTGCCTTTTTCCCTTTTGTCCTAGGACTATCTTTCCAATATTTTAACATCAGGCCCAAAGGTCTACCTGGGGCATTTCGGTGTCATATATTTAACTGCCCCTGCACTGTTGTGGCTCCTTCCCCATCCTGCTCTTGTGGGTGTGGTCTCATGTTTCTGAATAGAGGTTCAAACCACCACCACCACCACCACTCCCGTTTTGGAGGGTTCTTGCACTCATGTCTCAGTCACACTCATACAACCTCTGGGATGTCCTGATCATCAAGGAAGTACTTCTTTCATGAGAACAGATTTTCCTACCTTGGTCTGCACACAGAGTTACCTGGTCGCTGAGGTGCTTGCTTGGGCCCTTTCCCCTCATTGCTGATCTACTCTCAGTTCTGGGTTCACTGTGTGCCTCAGGGATTGCAGGTTTCCTCCCCAACTCTGAGGCTGCTGCAATAGGTAGCAGAATATAGTGAATTATCTCATTTAACCCATAGACAGCTATTGTTATCTTTTCTCTATAGATAAAGAGATTGGAGAACAAAGAGGTTAAGTATTTTCCTACTGTCCCACAGCTATCAAGTGTCTGAATCAGATTTTAAACCCAGGCAGTCTGAGATCAGACTGATAAGGACTCAGAGCACATCATATGTTTAACTGCCCCTGCACTGTTGTGGCTCCTTATAGTCCCTGCCCTCATGGAACTTAAAGTCTTTTTTTTTTTTTTTAATCAGGCAAGCTAAAACACCACCCAGAGTGATGTAATTCACTTGTATTTGCTGAGAAGCAACTGGGAAGTACGAATGTTTGTAAAGTGCTTGACATCATGGGGCCATCAGGGAAAAGTCAAGGTCATGGATGGAATCTTGGTCCAGGTTCTGCAGTGTGCTCTTTGGCAAGACTAGTCACCTCTCTGAGGCTTCATTTCTTTATTTACAAAATGGATTGTCAATGCCCATTCTATCTGCCTCCAGGCATCTTTATGGAGGCTAAATGAGGTGGCAGCCGGAAACAAGGTTTCAAAACAGGAACAGAGCACCAGACAAGGGTTTATTACAGGACCAAAGTGAAACTTTGGTGTCAGTTTGATGAATGAATGAAGGAAGGAATGGTCCTAGCAGCCCTGCAGATTGACTCTGTGAGTGACAAATGGGTCCCTTCGGGCCATCCGTTGATGTTTTTCAGCATCCCAATAAGACTCTTTATCCTTGGCCATGCCCCGTGCTCCGGTCCCTTGAGTTATTTTGCATCTGATTTTGTGTGAGCCTCCAAGACTGTTTTAGCAATCATTTATTAACGTCTTTTGGGAGACAGGTCTTGCAGTCAACTCTGTGGGGAGACAGACAAATTTGGAATGATCTCAGCCCTCAGGGGCTTCCAGGCTAAGAGGAAAAAAATATTAATAATAATAAAAACAAAAGCAATAATGACTTGCAATTATTGAACATTTAGCCCATGTCAAGTTTTATGTTCAGATTTTATATACATTATTTCATTTATTCACAAAACTTTCTATGAATCTCTAGAACTAATGTCCCCCCTTTGTATACATGGAAATAGATTCAGACAGGTTAAGTAACTTACTCCAAGTTCACATAACACTGAATCTGTAGAGCTTGGCATGAACCTGAGAAAGAAGATATAGAATGAGGTAACTATTAACTGCTGTGGACCCTAACAGAGGGGCAAGCAGGATGACTGTGGTGATGGTGACACCACAGCTGCTGATGTAATGCTGGTTTCGTTGATGACGTTGATAGGAATACTGCTGATGACCTAACCTTATGTGTCCATCTGCTGAGCTTCTGCTTTGTGCCAGGCCCTGGGCTGGGTGCCTGCTACTATTTTCATTTAATCATCCAGTGTCACAATTTTCGTTCCCATTTTTCTCAGGACACTGAGCTAGAAAAAGGCTGCATGCCTGCCCCAGGGCACACCTCCAGTCTGAGCTGTCTGCATCTCTAGCTGCCTCCAGCAGAGCAGAGGCTCCTCCCCCTGCCAATCCTTACCCTGCAGGGCATGGGCTGGGCATCTCAGAGATACACCATAAATATCTGTTAAGTGAATATTGAATAGATGGATTCCCCAGGGCTTGAAGTCTAAGCCTAGGAGATACAAATAATGTCTCAAGTGAATATGTGAATGAGCATTATTTAAATCCACACAGTGCTGCTGTGATTACTAAAATGCAAGTTAATTGCAAAGTATTATGTTCATTGTTGCGTTTGTATTGTTGTTTATCTTCTCGGTGAGAGGATACTAAGAGCGCAGTTACCATCAGGAGGAGTTTTGAGAACTATCTTCATACAAAAGGGGTCTGTGTGCTGAAAATGGTGACAGCATCCCTCCACGCTGCGCCACATGTTCAAAGTGCTTTCCCCAGTGTCTGGCATAGTGACCACATGGAGAAGGGAAGCCACTCTCCAATCTGGGGACAGGACTGGGCATTGCTCCTGGCCCACAGACATCTTTCTTATCTCCATGAGAACTGATGCAGTGTCTAATAGCTCTTAAATGGCTATTGAATGCTTGTATGAATGAATTAATAAAGAAAGAAAGAATGAGTGGATTACCTCCAACAGGTGCATGGGGAGTCTGTGGAGGGTGTTTCCCCCAAGGAATACAAAAATCAGGGCTTCCAGGCCCAGGATGCCTGCCTGCGGGGTCGGCAAGGACAAGGGGCTATGTCTTTCCACTCTGTGTGCGGGGTGATGAGGCTGTGGTTGCACGGCCAGGGGGCCTGGTCTTAACCCTGCTATGACCATGTTGGGGAAGGGGCAGTGGCTGGGGCTTTGTGCTCAGCAAGGTGGTGCTCACCATTTTTTCTAACTCAAATGAAAATTGACAGAAGTATAATGTTCTCACTTCTCTGCTCCCCACAGGCCCCCCTCCATCACAGTTCTTGAAACTCTTAGAAGTCTCTGATATATCTTGACCATGAGACGGTGGCTGGCTTTTGACAGGTAAGCTCTCTCCATTCTCCCCACACACCACAGGCACAGCCCAAAGGCCCCTGGGCCAGGTTTTGTGGCCGGGAGGTAAGTGGGGATGGCCTTGGCCTTGGGTGGGAGAATGGAACCCCACACTCTACAGAAACTTGAGGAAAACGCCACCCAAACACCCAGAGTCCTGCAGCTAGCAGTTCTGCTGTTGGCAGCAAGAGTGACAAGAGTGTGGGGAGGGGAGCCGGGGAACAGTTGTGACCTCAGATCTCTGCTTTAATGTCACAAAGTCCCAAGCAAGCAACTGCTGCTTTGTGTCCGTTTCCTTTTCTGTCAAGTGAAGCAATAAATGGGACTCATCGAACAGGGCAGGCCTCAAGCTGTCTGGTCTGGGCTCCCACTCAGGCCCGGGGATGTTGGGGTGGGGTCCTCCATGAACAATCAGCTCCGTGGTTCTGAATGAGTGGCTGAGAGCTCAGAGGAGGTGGTTATGTTAGAACCCACTGAACGTCAGCAAGGGGCCTGGGTCAGCCAGCTCCTTGATGAGTGTCTGTGGCCCAGCCTCTCCTGTCTCAGGGCCCTGCTACAGCCCTTCAGAGAATTTCCAGGCACTCTGGACACCCGCCCTGCTCTGGGCAGTGGCTCTGGCCATGGGCTGCTTGGCTTGCCCTCTTCCCACCCAGCCAACTCTGCTCCCTCTGTCCTGCAGGACAGTGGGCTGCCTCCCCCAGGGCAGTGACCTTCTAGGGACTCAGCCCAGGTATTAAGCCCCTCTCAGCCTCCCCCTCATCACTAAGTTATAGCAAGGTGACTCCTGCCCCAGAGGGGTGTCTGTGTAGTGGGGAACACTTGTCAATCTTAGAATTTTACAATTTCCTCTCTTGGCACAACTCAAACACTTTCATGTCTTCTGTGCCAAAGCGGGCTCTGAGGCCAGAGAGCTGCCCTCCAGCCCCACCCCATGCCTCCCATTGGAAGCTGGTCAAACCTCCATCTGCAAAACCCCTGCCTCCTTAGATGATTCCAGACTCAATCACAAGAGCTCTCAGGAAAGGGCTGAACAGGGCCCATCATATAGTAGTTGACATGTACATTCTGTGCTCTGCCACCTCTATCCCTGCCCTGGAGAGCATGGCTAGAAAGACCTATGAGGGCTTGGGTTGAAAATGGCATGCACAGTTAGCATGTGCATCGTAACAGGAAGCGAGGGCATAGGCCTCAACCTTCCTTTGAAAAATCTATTCAGTAAAACTCTGTTCCAGGCACTGGTGGACTCTGGGGACCCAGTCAGCAATAGGATGGTCCCTTCACAGAAGGGACATGTGGAAAAAGGGGCAGAAATGCACTATGAGGATTGGTGAAGAAAACGACATGCAGAAGAGAGGCGGCGACACATTCAGAGAGGGTTGTGACTTGAAGGCGTGTGGAGGGGAGCGTGTGGTCTGGCACCTGCGGGGTCAGTGGAGTTCGTCAGATGAGCAGGACTGCAGGAGGGAGTAGAGGTGGCCCAGGTAGAAGGACCGGCATGGGCAAAGGCCTGGCTGTGGGAGCCTCCTGTGGGTTGGGCCTCTGTGGCTGGTGTTGGTAGTGACCTTCCCGGCAGAGCTCCTGTGGCAGGGAAGCCTTCCCAGAAGCTTAGCATCCGACTCCCATCAGCTCAGATGTCATCGGGAGGGTCACACCTTCAGCCAGGCCCCACAGTTTAAGAGGAAGGAGGCAGATGAGTTCCATAACGAGGGCCGCTGGGCAGCCTATAACGGTGGCAAGTCAGTGGGAGACTCTCTGGCTTCTCCTGGCTGGGGCTGAGGGCTCAGTGTACCTGCACACTCTGGAGGGGTCTGGAGACATTATTGCATTTGCACTGGTAGCTCAAGCCCTGAGGTGGAAAGACCCCAGATACCTGCACATCATGGCCACTGGTACTCAGACAGAGGGTGTTCAAAGGACTATGGGGCCCTGGAGGAGCGAGAGTCAGGGCAGTGGCAGCTTGACACTGTAAGGAAGGAATCTGAAGCAGGACCTGGCCAGTGGCTTAGCCAGGTTGAACCCAAGCAGTCCTTGCTCAAATGACCCCGGGCAGCCTTTCTCTAAGCACTACAGAAACCTACAGGGTTGGAGATATGTCTGTCTTGCTTTAGCACCCAGTAGACACTCAGTGAAAATGGGCTCACTAACAAGAATGCACAAAGGCCTGATGACTTGGCTCCTGAAAGAACTGGAGCAGAGAGTGGGGATGGGGATCGATTCTCGGGCAGAGGGAGCAGCTGGAACAAAGGCCTCAGGTTGGAGCACCTGGAGCTGCCAGGAGGTGCTGCCTGGTGTAGAGTGTGCAAGGCTGATGGGGCTGGAGAGGACAGTTTAAGCGGCAGTCCCTCCAGCCCACCTGCCTCATCCCAAAGACCTGCCGTCTGCTGCCTTCCCTACCTTGGGAAAGGGAGTGCACTGTGCCCTTTGTGGCCCCACATCCTAATTTGCCACTTCTTCTCTCTAAGGTTCCCATACACTAAGGCCATAAGCCCCCAAGAGGGTGGGCAAGTGGGCCAAAGATGTCCAAGAAAGACCACTCAAAACTCACTGCTGTAATGGGAAGCTTTCTGAATGTTCTAGGCTTTGGGAGCAGGGTGGGAATTTGGGGCTTGCTTTGCCTTGTTTTTTCAAAGGCCCTTTCTTTCCTCAAGCTAGATGAGCTGCACATCGACACAGGGTTGGGGCTAGCTCCGTGGCTTCCTTGCTGGGCACCCTTGGATGAGTCAATTCATTTTTTTGTTCCTTGGTTTCTGTCTCTATAAAGTGGGAATCAGAGCAACTATAGAAATAACTGGGGCAGCATTTGGGGAAACTCTGGGACACCACCAGGCTCAGTGAAAAGTAGTTTCTGGGCTTCCTATTTTGCTAGTGGGGCCTCAGTTTGCTCTATAAAATGAAACGTTGGACAATGTTGATCTTTATACCAGCCAGCCATGTCAATAGCTTTACCATACATGCCCTACATGCCTAAACGCACGTGTAATTTAATCATTTGTGTATGGAAGATCAATGTGCAATTTTTAGCCCCTTTTATTGTGTTTTCTTCTGATTACAAAAGTAATACATATGACAAAAGTCATACATATTTATTGAGAAAATTTTGTAAAGTTCAGGGAAAGAAAAAAATTCGCCCACTGCTCCACGTCCATGACTGAGATACTTAGTGGATCCTTCCCCCTCCTTGCTGATGCATATGTCCATACACACATTTCAAATATATGCAGGTATTTTGGATGATAATCTGCACTCTATTTTTTAACCCAAGCTGGGCTATCCAAACAGGCCACTGGGCTGGGCCGTCTGTCCCTGTGCCTGGGAGGAACTGGAGGTAGCAGCTGCCTCTGCTCTCCCACTTCTGCCTGGGCGGCTGGTTGGAGGCATCTGACCTTCGGATGTTCCATGTCTCTGGCGGGTGCACATTTGACACTAATTTTAGCTTGGCCTCTCGAGCCCTCTGGCCTTGGGGCCTGCACATAATGGACGCCTTATGTAGACAGCTGCCAATGGTGCAGGAAGAAGTGTCCCACCTTAAAATGTTCCTCATCGCCGGCCAGTGCTCCGCTCTCGGAGAACAAGCTGGCTCCCTGTTCCCTCTCCCACCAGGAAGGGGCGGTTGTTGATGTTCATGGCCCAGCAGGCTGTGCCAGGGGCAGGTGGCCCGCCCCTCACACACGGGACACTGCATCTCTGGACAGGGTAGTGTTTTTACAGGATGGGTTTTGGTTTGAACTGGAACAGCCAAGAGACTTCCTGAGAAGTGGCTGTGGGTGTGGGGTGTCTGAAAAGTCCTCGTGTGTGTGTGTGTGTGTGTATGCTGAGCCTTCTGGAGCCTCGTCTCACATGTGTCAACTGTTATAAAGGGACAATGTCATTGGACATCCCATTTTGTCCTGATAACAGCTCAGTGGTTTTTGTGACAGCATATCCATTTTACAGGTGAAGGAACGGAGGCTGAGACTGAGAAGGAATTAGCCTGAGGTCCCACGGCAGGTCCGTGGCAGGGACTTGAATGTGAATGTGGGTCTCTCTCACTCTTATTCCAGGGCTGTCTCTGCTCACCAGCACCACAGAGGAAAGGGGCTCTGACCAGGCTCATGCCCATCAGCTCTGTATTTCCCAATGTTTGGTCTTGTTCATCTAAATGGGACTATTTCAAGTTCTGCCTTGGAAGGAAAACATGTTTATTGAAAATGAAGATAGCCGGTTGTTCTGTTTCTAAAGCACAGTTCTAATCGTGGCAGATCCTTGCTTCAGAATTAGAGGATCTCCTTTTACCACAAGATAAAGCCCACATACCTTAGCTGGCATTCAGTTTCCATGGTCACATGTGGATGCCCCTGAATCTGGCTCCCCAACACTGATCTAGCAGGATATTTGTGTATGGTTGGGAATTATCCTTATGATCTGCTTCTTGGACGCTGAAGCTTCCCGAGGCAGGACACCCATGGGCTATTTATTTCCATTTCCATGGGCCCTGCACTGGCCTGGGTACAGTCAAGCCATTAAATGTACTGGCCCTCACCTGTGGTCCTTCGTTGGAAACATGAGTTTTAAGCCAGGCTTAGAAATAAGCCCAGAGAGGTCCACCCAGCAGCTGCCAGCCCAGTAAGGAGTAGTTTTTTGGCTATATTCCCAGGAGGGGGCTGCAGGGCCAAGTCAGAAAGCCCTGGGGAGGCTGGGAATCGGAATGTGAAAGATTCCCGGGTGTGTGCTGAGACTCACCCCTGCCCCCATGGCCAATCTTCCACCTCCCCCCAGCTCCCTGGCCCTATGGTGACAATACACCCTGTGTAATACATCCCCTGCCCCGACAGTGGCTCTTTGACCCAAGTCGGATGCTCTTCAGGAACAATTCATAGCAGCAGCAGCACAGCTGCTCTGGGGGAAAACAAGTTTTCTAGGGATCATTTGGGCTGAGTGAGGACAGGACCCTTGCACCAAACAGTGCCCCTCTGGACCCAGCCCCTCAGCCTTCCAGACAGAGATGCTCTGGC